AACAACACAGGGGTTAGGGGTGCTGAACCCCATGTAGTCTAAAATCCATGTATAATTTTTGACTCTCCCGAATCTGACTACTAACAGCCTACTGTTGAGGGTGCTGATAACATAAAGAGTTACTTAACACATACATTTTTTTTTTTTAAGATTTTATTTATTTGCCAGAGAGAGAGAGAGAGAGAGAGAGAGAGAGTAAGCGAGTACACACAAGCAGGCAGAGAGGCAGTCAGAGGCAGCGAGAGAAGCAGGTTCCCTGCCGAGCAAGGAGCCCGATGCGGGACTCGATCCCAGGACCCTGCGATCGTGACCTGAGCCGAAGGCAGTGGCTTAACCCACTGAGCCACCCAGGTGTCCCTAATTAACACATATTTTGTATGTCATATCATATACTACATTCTTACAGTAAAGCAAGCTGGAGAAAAAAGGTTAAGAAAATCATTAGGAAAATACATTTCCAATACTGTACTGTATTTATCAAAGAAATGCATGTAAGTGGACTACACAGCTCAAACCCATGTTGTTCAAGGGTCAACTGTAGGTACAAGAACATTCTCAATTCCTCCTCTAACCCCATCTTCTTCCTCTGTCCATCTCTCCACAACCCCCACCTACTCTGAACTGCTTGCAATTTCCCAGGAGGTCTGTGCATTTGCCTTCTGGGCTGCTCCTTCTGGGGCAATGGCCTTCCGACAACACTCTGTTAGCTGACTCCTACTCCTCATCTCAAAGACACCTCCTCCGATCTTTCCTGCCTGGCTACCCCACTTTCCCACCTCTTTGCAGAGATTCTGCTCCCTTCTGTATGTTCTCTTGCTCTTGTGAGGACCCTAGAATCACAGTGGTCAGAGACTTCCTTTATCCAGGTAAGTTCCTTCAGGCAGGATCACACCTCTGCACCTGAAGCATCTAGTGCAAGGTCTGGCATGATGGATACAACGAAAGAATGCTCCTGGTAGAGTAAATACATAGGACAATTCACAAACACAGATCTGTCTGTGGCCCACAGAAGGATCCAGCCTAAAATAGAAATCACACAGAGTAGAAGTACTTCCACTGTCAACCTGCCTTGCTTTCCCATTTTTAACTTTATTTAATATGAAGTTGTTTCACAACAACTAGAAGTATCAATTTCCAAAGCATTTAGTCATTCCCCCTTTATGGAGTATTTTAATTAATATCATTATATCCATATATAGTATTTTGCATATTGTCTAATGGCTAAGAGCAAGGGTTCTAAAACCAAACTAATGGGCCCGAATTGTGACTCTACCACCTGATAACTATATGATCTTAATTAGTTACTTAACCTCCCCGCTTCAACTTCCCATGGGTAAAATGGGGATAACCAAACCCACTTCATATCGTTTTTGTCAAGACTAGAACTTCAACACTGTTTGGCACATAGTAAACGCTCAATAAAAGTTAGCTATTATTTATTTATTTATTTTTATCTCCTCTAGCGGACTGTGAGCCCCTGAAGAGCAAGGACAGCAGAAGCATTCATTTTCATGACCTTATCTCCCAGTGCCTTGCACAGAATCACACACTTGGCTAATGTTTGCAGATCAGATGAATAAAATGAACTGTTTATAGAAAAATATGTGGATTATTAAGTACAATGAATAGTATAGAATGCATTGCTCCAACAGTTTGGAGGCCTGTGGAAAACAGAGACTATCCAGAACACTAGCAGTTTGCCCTGCTCCTAGAGGTCTGGAAGCTCACTTGCTTTCCATGGAATATGCAGGGTAGGGTTCATGGCCCCCAAGTCAGGGCAGCTGTGTGGTGAAGGGGACCCAAGCAGGACGGGCCTGCCATCCCATTAGCATGGCCCCCCAGGCAAGAAATTTCTCCTCCGCAGTTTGCTTACTCTCCCCTTTCAATTAAGACAAGGTAGAACTGTGATCTCTAAGGACCCTCCTAGCCACTTTGGGAGTCTTTAAATCAGCAAATAAAAAAATTGGGCCAAGAAAGATGCTCCTGGAGTAAAAGAACCATTTCAAAGTCAACACTGGAGGTCTAAGATCACTGTATTAAAAGTAATCACTGAGTGGAAACTAGCTATTTGAATGGACAAAAAGCAAAAGTTTTTGAAACACGTTTAAAATAAAAAGATCTGAACCCATGGAATCAAAAGAATAAAGCAATGATGGGTACAGGCTCCAGGTTTCCAGATATTTTAATTCTCATCAGCCTGCAAACTCCTTGAGGGAAATGACTGCACCTTGTTGAGTGGCAACATATGGCAAAGCTGCTGGCCCAAAATACATTTCTTCTTGATTTTTTTTCTTAGTCAAGTGGCTATCCTGTATTTCCCAGGCTCCCCTGCAGTTAAATGTGACCACATAACTAGCCCTCATAGAAGCACAGAAGCCCGTGCATCGAAGTGGTGGGTGTCATTTCCAGGCCAAAGCATTTAAAAAGTGGACTACTACATGAGGAATAATAAGTATCTATTGCTTTTGAGCCATTACATTTTCGCAGGCCTATTTGTTATAGCTGCTAACGTTAGCTTAATGAATCCAGGTGCCTGGCACATACCAAAGACCTAATTCACATTTAGTGAAACAAGATTAAGTAAGACCAGGTTCCTTCTCTCAATGTGCTGACCAACTAATGATGGAAGCAGAGACATGCCAAACATAATGCCTGCTGCTGAAGTCTGAAAACAAAATTGGAGGCATGGTGATTTGTTTGGAGGGGAAGATGGAGAAAGCATCAAAGACTTTTGAGCTGAGCCCTAAAGCTTAAATAGAACCCAAGCAAATCAGATGGGATTGGAGAGTTCAGACCCAGCGCAAAGCATAAAGTACAGAAGGCAGAGTGTGCATTTGTTCACATTCAACCTTATCATTAAGTCTCTTTAGCTTGGTCAACACAGTGTGAGCTTATTGTGCACGGACTTTCCTTCCTGGGTCTGGCATCAAACAAACAACGCTTTGTTTTTACAGTACGCTCATTAACCTTATTGCTTTTTTTTTTTAATATAAAAAGTTCCATGATGAATGTCCTTAGAAAGTGCAGAAGTAAATGTTTAATGAATCATAACTCTTTTCTAATAAAATTCTTGAAGAACAAACTTGAGGCAGATCTATTACAACCGTCAAGGAGCCATGCTCTTAGGAATCAATGGGTTTAAAGTAAGTTTTCACATTATCAACTAAGCATGTAACAGTCTCTGGCTTACAAAATGGAACATTAAGCCTCTTGATTTACATTAACATTTCCTCTTTAAGAGGAACACCAAACAGATGGTTCAAAGTTCTGTCAAAAGATTCTCTATATCCTTTGCTCATAGTTAAGTACCCCCAACCCCGAGATAGTTAACAAACCACTTCCTCCAAAAGTCTGTGAGTCCCTTCATCTGCAAGCACAGTACCCATGGGACCAGGACTCAGGAGAAAGAGCACAAAGGCTGGAAAGTATTGCCATCGCTTGGGTGGTGAGAGGAAGGATGTGGGGTTACCTGAAGTGGGGAAGAGACATGGTCTCTAGAGGTCTTCCAAATACCAATTTATGCTGGTTTTGATGGCCCCAGAAACTTGTTTAAATATAAGGGTAAAACACCACCACTGGGCAGACAAAATTTCATTTCAAGACTTCAGCACTTCTTAGACTTCAGAGAAGAAGTCTGGCTGCCTCACTCTTATCAAACACGAATTTAATCATCTGATTCAGAAGCAAAATTCTTCTGCCCCCCAAGGCCAATTCATCCTTCCCCAGCTTTTTAGTACCTATCCCCAAAAAAGAGGAGGTTAAAACAAGGCAGAGGAGGGCTACCCTGATAGTAAAGCAACTCTTAAGACTGCTGGAATCATTTTCCCCCTTAAAACTAAGAAATACTGCAGCTGCCAGTCAACACTACTGGGTCCATGAATACAGCGAAATGACAGCACCTGCCACCCTGCAGCATCTGGGGCCTTTTATTTTTTTGGTAAATGTGGCAGGAAAGACTCTCAGAGAGAAAATCAACTGCTTTATCTGAGAGAAAGGGAAGCCCCAATGAAGAGAAATAAGAATCATCGTGCCCATCCTTGGGTACTTTGTGCGTCTCCTCTCTGTGCACTGAAAGGGCTCTTTGTGTCACACACACACACACCCGGCGAGTCTCTGTGATTTATTAAGGGGAGGAGGGGCAAGAAGGGTGATTTTATTATCCCTCTTCTCACGGAGTCCCAGCAAATCTCCGTCTGGGCCCAACCTCGGTGGCCTCTTTCTGGCCCAGTCCCCTCTGCCTGTGGCCGCAGAGATAAGAAAGGGGAGGCGACCAAACAAAAACCAGCCATCGATCTGGGGAAGTAGAAAGGAAATCCAGCGAGCAGGGAAGGGAAGAGAAAGGAGCTTGAGGGGGCAGAAGGGGTGGGGAGGCAGAGGAAGAAGAGCGAAGGCAACAGCACGAGGGACAGGGGAAGGTTGGGTGGGTGGCGGCACAGGAAGAGTGAAGGGGAGGATGGGGGAAGTGCTAGGGAGGTGCCAGAAATAGGCAGGAGGATGCGCTGAGGAAAGCGACGACCGCAGGAGGCCAAGAGGTGGAGGAGTGGGGCAGGGGTGGGGTGGGGTGGGATGGGGTGGGGAGGGAAGCAGCACGGGGCATCAATTATTAAGTGATTACATCATCCCTGACATTAAAACAACACACACAGACCGAGTCCCCGCGGGGGGCCCCCGAAAGGAGGGCGAGGGTGGAGTCTGGGCCAGCCTCGCCCCCAGCCAATTCCCATTCTCGCCCCGCGCCGGCTCGCAGGCGAGGAAACGGGCCCCCATCCCTGCGCCACCTCAGGGCCGCACCCCGCTGAGGTGTCCTCCGGCGCGGCCGCGGGAAGACTCCGAGCGGGGGCAACTCCCCGGCAGCCCCGCGGGGCGCCCCGGAGGCGGCGGCGGCCGGGAGACTGCAGCGCGGGGCCCCGCGGCGGGGGCGGCGCAGCGCGGGGGCGCGGATGGCCGGCGTCTCCGCAGCATCCCCGCGGCCCTCTCGCGACGCATCCTCAGCCGCTTACCTGCGCGGCGCTCAGGCTCCGGAGCCCATTCACATGGTCTTCTCCCCGCCCTCCACCGGCGCGACCGAGGCGACTCCGCTGGCTCCTCGGTGGGCCCGGGAGCCGGTGGGCCTTCCGAGAGCGCCGAGGGGGCGGCGCCGGGTATCCCCGGCCCGGCGGCCCGATCCTTCCCTGGCACGATCGGCGGCCGCCGGGCGGTGCGGCGCGGGCGGCGGCTTTGTGTGCGCCCGGAGAGCTCTCGGTGCGCTGGCTGTGCGCCGCGCGCCCGGACGGAAGAGGACGCGCGGCTCGGAGGGCAGCCTGCCACTGCTTTCGCGGCCGGCCGGCGGGCGGGTCTCGGCGGCCTTTGGTCACGACGACCCCTCCTCCTCTCCCGCGGCAGCCCCCTCCCCGCCGGCTCCGCTCCTGACAGATGGCGCAACTGCAACAACGCGCCGCCGCCGCCGCGGCTGCTCGCAGCTACTCACGCTGATGCTCCGGCCCCTCTAGCCCCAGCCCTGAGTGAGGACGGGGCGGGCCGCACGCTGAGAGAGGCAGTCCCTGCTGCCCTATCAACGCATTGGTCGGGAGCTGCGGGCGGCTACCATTGGTGTCTGGCTCGGGGGCGGGGCTGAAAGGGGTGGGGCCACCGAGTGGGTTGAGCGTTACTGTGGCAGCAGGCATCCTGGCGTGCGTGCCGTGTGGGTTGTGAGAGGGGATGCGAGGTTGGAGGAGTTGTGTACGTGCTTTTAAGGGTTGTGTGGACTTGCGAGGTAGTGGGTTTGGGAGGGGGAAGAAGGGGAGAGTGTGAGCTGCAGTTTCTGCTTTGCGGAAGGTTGCAGCTGCCACTGCAGAAAGGCATCTGTCATTCCCCCCCCGCCCCCCAAACCATGGGAACCTGGCTTGGGAAAGGGCTATCTTGCTTTTCTGGTGTCTTTTCATTTGAAGGTGGGAGGATAAATTGGGAAAGTGTTAGTGGTGAAAACGTTTTTGCTGATCAAACTGAAGAGTGCAGAGCAAGGTAGAACTCCATCACAGAAACTTGGAAAAACCAGGAGAACCGTGGAAACCCACAACTAATATTAATAATAATAAAGGGAAGGAGGAAATTAAGATTCATCTGTTAGTCTCCTATTTTCGTAGACACACACATATATTTATCTTCAAGCAAAAGTCTGCAGGAAGTATTACTGAAATAGAGGGAGTGGTGGAGAGGGCAGGTGACCACTTAGGAATGTGAAATCACAGAGTAGAAATTTGTTGGTATAAATTTTCCCCAAATCATGTTTAATTGTAGTTATTGGTTGTCTTTGGTTTCTCGTGACATTTAGCCTTCTCATACTTTATTCCTTCATGGAATCTGAGCTTCTGCTCAGATTTTCCTTGTTGAAATAATAGCTGGTTTCATATACAGTCAGGAGTGCATCAGTCTTTATTTCCTATCCAGCTTTTCTATGGCAGGATGTAACTTCATAAAAAGAAACACTTTGGCTTCCTGATTTTCTTTATAGTTAATTCCTGTTTACTGAAAATTCTCCTTTAAGGCATGCTCAGATTCATTCTCCTTAGTGATTTTGGCAAGAGCCTTACCCTCCCCCCTCAGCACATCTAATGTTCTGAGAAATAGAAGTGAATTAGCGTCTGCTTCTATGCTCAAAATCTATATTACCTTTCCGGCCCACTAATTTTTTTTTAACAGTAGTTTAAAACTATCAATTGCTTTTGCTGACTTCTTTTTGTACACAGTACTTTGAAGTAAGTTGCCTGGGGGACTTAGTTGGCTCAGTCAGAAGAGCTCATGACTCTTGATTTGGGGATTGTGAGTTCAAGCCCAACACTGGGTGTAGAGATTACTAAATAAATAAATAAATAAATAAAAACTTTTTTTTTTTAAAGAAAGTGGCAACATTTATTAAAGGATCCCCATTTTATGGATAAGGAAACTGAGGACAAGAGAACTTAATAACTAAACTCAGGGTGATCGTACAGGGTAGTTACTGTGGAGTGTTGCTTCCTCCTTAAACAAAGTGATAAATGAAACCATGTTTAAATTACATGTCTGGTAATTCATTCCACAGCCCCAAGAAATGGAACCACAACAAGAACTAGAGGATTTCCATACAAGAGAAAACCAACTTCATCTAGCCAAGAATTGTTGATCTCAAGAGAAGGGACTCCTCTTCCTTAGTACTAGCCTGACATGGCTGTCCTCAATTTGAATTGGGATGGAGAGGCAATGGTCTAGAGCAATGGTTCTCAAACCTTAGCATTTTTCAGAATTACCAGAAGGGACTTGTTAAAATGCAGATTGATGTTCCCCAATCCCACAGGGTCTGATTCAGTAGGTTTGAAATGGGGCCCAAGAATCTGTACCTCTAACAGTTCCCTGGTGTTGTCAGTGCTGCTGGTCTGGGTACCACGTCTTGAGAACCGCTGGTCTAGAACCAGGCTGTCCAATGTGGCAACCACTAGCCACAGGTAGCTGTTAAGTACCTGAAATGTATTTGTGTATTTGAAATGTGGCTGGTGCAAATTAAGGTATGCTGTAAATAGAAAAGACATATTGGATTTCAAATATTTAGCATGAAAAAAAGAAATGTAAAGCATCGAATTAATTTTTATATGGATTATATGTTAAGAAGATAGTAGTCTGAATGTACTGTGCTCCCTAAAGTAGATCATTAAATTTTACTTCACATATTTGTTTTTATTTTTAAATGTAGCTACTAGAGAATATTTTTTAAAGATTTATGTATTTATTTGAGAGAGAGAGAAAGAGAGAGCACATGCAGAGAGAAGGAGAGAAAGTCTCAAGCAGACTCCCTGCAGAGTGCAGAGTATGGGGTTGGGCACAGGCCCCAGGCCAGAGGCTCAAGGCATGGGGGCCCAAGGTGGGGCTCGATCCCAGAACCCTGAGCTCGTGACCGGAGTTGAAACCAAGAATCGGACACTTAACTGACTGAGCCACCTAGGTACCCCACTACTAGAGAATTTTGAATAGTATATGTGGCTCACATGACATTTCTATCAGATAGCAGAGTTTCTGATTCCCGCTCCATAGCACACACTGTCAGCACCTTGATGAGGCAAACCACTTAGTCTTTGTGGATCTTTGTGTTCTCATACATAAAATAGGGGAGTAGTAAAACTGATCTCATACTACTTTGTGAAGACTAAATGGGCATGGAAGCAGTTTATGCATTCCTTCTTCCTTTTTAAAGATAAACGGTCCTGTACTCTCAGGAAAACCACTCTTAAGATAGGGACGTCCTTGGTATCCCACCTTGGATTCAACTTACCTTATGTGAAACCTGGAGTAGGTGGGATAAGACGACTCCTAGTTTAAGGTTTCTTCAAGAAGAGTCACTTTTTAGTATCTGACTCTAATAGCTTCTTGATCTAATTAGTGAACAAAAAGAACAGACAATGCAATTAAAATGACAGATTAACCTGCTTCATCCTGTTTTTGTAATTCTTTCCTTGCCTACCTTTTTATCTGTTGCCCTTCTTAAAAGTCATTTTAAATGGATTTGGCCTCCTCAGGAGGATTTGCTAATGGCCTGAACAAGTATATAGAGTTCTATGAGGGATTTGGATACTATTCCCCATTTTGATCTACTGTGCAGGTGTCTGCAGACACCATGATTAAAGGTCCATGGCACTGTCCCTGGCCTACCTGTGAGAAGTTGTATTGTCCTCTGCACCCCTGATTTCTTTAAATTTTCTTATGGATAGTTTGTATTATATAAATTAGAATGTAGGCATTGTTCTAGAATTTTGCTTTGATATGGCTAGTATTAGTTACTTTTAATTTTTCCCATTTTTATGTTTCTATTTCTTTACCTTAAAGTTTCCTATTTCTATCTGGGCTTTATTTTGTCTCACCTGAATTTCTTATCTTCTTGCTTTTAAAAGTAACATTTTCCTTATTTTTTATTTTGTTAGTTAAAATATTTTTTCCCCTAATGGTTACATTTAGGTTTAATCTTCTCTTAAATGTTATCTCAATAGCAACACATATGGCAAAGGTAAGAGTCCAGAATATAGAGTTCTTACAAATCAACAAGAAAATAAAGATGAACACTCTGGTTGAAAAACACCGAGCAAAAGAAATGCATCTCCAAATGGCTAGTACACATGAAAAGGGATTCAACTTCCCTTGCAACCAAAGCAATGCAAAGATAGTTTTTTTCTCCCTGCACAGTTGGCCAAAGACATAAAAGGATGTAGGGAAATAGATATGCACACCCTAATGTTAATTGGCATAGCACTTCTAGAAGACAGTTTACTACCATTTCTGAAAAGTATTTTGAAAAGTATATGCCTTTGACACAGCAATTCTGCTTCTGGGAAAGAACGTAACAAGTTTGCAAAAATATACGTGTGATGTGAGTAATTGGAACATTGTTTATAATAGTGAACAACTGAGAAAAGTCCATTGGTAAGATACTGGGAGTATAAACTATGCTATGATAGAACACTCCAAAGTCAAGAAAATAATGGTGATGGCATTTATTTTTTTTTATGTGGAGAGATTTTTAGAATAAATTAATATGTGTGTATATGTGTCTCTATATATGTATTTTTATGTAAACATATTCCATTGTTCTAAAATTATAAGTGTAAATTTTCATAAGAAAGCATGCAAGTACATACATAGAAATTTTAAGAGTGATTTTCCCCAAATTATCAAGTTATAGGTCATCATTATTTTTTATCTTTATCTTAATTTTATGAACTTTTTGTATTGGGCACCTATTATTTCACAGAGGAAACAATAAAAGTTAAACTTTTTCCTGTCTTTGATACTTTAATTTCCCCTTTTATCCTTCTTTTATTTGCCCTGCTGATTTCTGCCCCTTTGAAGGAGTCTTGCCACAAGGGTGTATCCAGGAGAACCTCCCTGCCAGGGCCAAGAGGGTTAGAGACCTTCTGGTCCCACCTGCCCACACCCACCCTTCTAGCTTCTGGTGGACCTCCTTGGCACTTGTCAGAATGATTCTCAAAAAAACTTTACTGACTGTGAGAGCAGGAGGATGCTGGGAAACTAGCCCCAGAGCTAACCTCTCTGTACCTGGTACACCTGGTTTACCGTGAAATTCTTGCTTCTGACATCTCATATCATCAAGTTCTTATAGAAAGAGCTACATACTTTAAAATCCATGATGTTCAGAATACAGCCAATAGTAGGAGATGGTCCTGGGAAAGTCTCATGTGCAACGGGAAGGACCCTCCCTACTACACCCCAGCCTGAGTTTAGGAAAGGGGATAGGAGTAGGTGGTATCAGACCCGCCTTTGGAAGAAG